CATTTTTATAACAGGTCGCAGTAATTGTATATAGAAAAAAAATGGTTACACATACATTTTTAAATAAACATATTTGTAATTTTTCTAAATACGTACATTAATAACAGCCAGGCACAGAACAAAAGGAAGCGCGGATCACACAATATTTGTCAATGATGGGAATCGAATCCACAATTTCTTGCTTAGCTGTTAGTTACCACTAGACCAAAAGGCCCTTCTATATAAAAAGTATATAAAAAAAACTATGTAAATATTGTATTGTATTGACGGGCGTGTTGGTCTAGTGGTTAGTGACCCTGACTGCTAAGCTGGAGGTTGTGGGTTCGATTCCCACCCAGGACAAATATTGTTTGATGAGCACGGTCATTTGTTCTGTGTCTGGTTGTAATTTATCTATAATATGTATCTATTTTAAAAATATATAAGTATGTTTATCAGCAATCTGGTTACCATAGTACAGGCTCTGCCTAGTTTGGGATCAGACGGCCGTGTGTGAGATGTGTGAGATAAATTGTATGTAGGTAGATGGATCTTCAGGTAGATTTTATAATTAAACGACCATATTGAGGGTAATAATGATGACACTATAGCTCCTTACGATATCAATAAACTGTCACATTACAAAAACTATTAGTAATAATAATATTTTCGGACATCTGACTCACAACGCCATCTAGTTTCAAACTAAGCAGAGCTTGTACCATGAAAGCTAGATTGACTGATGGAATACTAATAGATTTTTTTATAAATACATACATAGAAAACACCCAAACAGCGAAACAAATATAAACAGTAACATTTGAAAAAATAAACGAGATTGTTCTTCGTATTTAAGACAGCTTACGTTTTAAAATCTATAATAAACTAGGTGTACCTACCCTACCACGCTTCGCTGTAGCTCATTGTGGATGAATTCATTAGAGATAAGGAACAATAGTAATGTAAACAAGAATTAATTAAAAAAATAACCTCTGCCACAGTAGTAGTAATAATTCCTTAATACTAATATACCTTGTTTCCCGTTTTCATTACTAAAAAGAATAGTTTTTTAATGCGGCGACAACTATACACACGATAGACAGTCGCTAGACATTCACGATAGAAATACCAAATATTGACATAAGCATTTCAATACTTTCATACAATGTAACGTGGGCTGTTAACTAAACAGTGCGAATTGTTACACACCCAAAAATCTCGCAATATCCTCTTAACACCACTGAATAAATAAAAATTGTGTTTACTAACCTCTTTACTAATTAAATAGTTAGATGCTTGTTTTATTAAGTATGTGCAAGGAGCCTACGCACGGGGCTAAATTGTTTATGGTAAATGGGGGCAAATCACCAGACTGGTTACATGATTGGAAGTGACTACCTTTTGAATCTCCCGCCCAGAACCAGGGGGCGGGGGCTTTGGATGCCGGCAGCCTCACAGACTTGGTGAAAAGCAACGATCTAATCATCATCAACAGCCTTTAACAGTCCACTGCTGGACATAAGCCTCTCCTAAGAAAGGAGATAATGGCAACTAGCATTATACTGCACGGTTGGCGTGTGGTGGTTCAAGTGGTCGCGACGCCGCTCACTACTACGCTGAGTGTTGTGGGTCCGATCCCCACATGGGAAGACACTTTGTGTGATCCTCAAATTGTTGTTCTGAGTCTGGGTGTTCTTTGTATCAGTTTTGTAGATTGACCCCCTTGACACATGTTATAATCCTAATACGAGAGTAGTCTTTTTAAAAAAAATAAAAAACGGTGAACAGTTTGTTTGTTTGGTTGACCGCGCTAATCAAAGAATTACTAGTTCGAATGGAAACATTATTTCAGAGTTGAATAACCTATTTATCAAAGAAGTCTAGCTAAAATCACGCTACCGCCAATAGGCGAAGGACATCAACCCTTTTAAGAGAAGCAGATAAAGGTGCGCGGGTCAGATGGTATTAAATAATGATTGATGTCCTTTTTTTACTAATCCCACCCACACGCCCACCACTGTAACTCCTGTACACCAGGATCCACAGCAGTGACCCACGAACACACCGAGTTATGACACTCGGGAAAGGAAAGAAATTAAACTGTCTTGGAACCCACAACGAAATTAATCAGAAGAAAATTGGAGGAGTTGGAAATACAGTAAATCCACTTCCCTCCTTAGCAAAGCGGGAGACAAAATGAAGTAAAATGGGCATACACCCTTTTAAACAGGGAAGCACCACGGCTACAAATATTACGGGTCCTACGTGAGCTATGTTTAATTTCTATAATATGTATGGCAGAATCGCCTAAACGCACGGAAATTCACCCTAGTTGACACATGATCCCCATAGTATACCGCCCCAGATGTCACCTGCAAGCTATTCAGCATTATATCACGTTCATTATACCAAAGACTACATTCCCAGAGGATATGATGAGCAGACTGTTCATAGCGAGATTTAGGTGTTGAGCATTGACACAATGGTGACTAGACTAATTTAAATGAATAAAGCTGATTGATTTCCTTGTCTTAGTTACCTCTACATTTAGAAAATGGACTTACAAGTACGTGACTTTCAGCCCCTTCGAACTAGTACAGTTTTAATCCCTTTCCCATCTCATTACATCACACATCAACAGCCTGTAAAAGTCCTCTGCCGGACATAGGCCTGTCCTTAGAAAGGATGTTTTTGTCTACTATACCACGCTGGCCAGACTGGTTGGTTTAGGGTTTGTATCAAGTTGTCCTTCTTTATGCAGTGCTGGTGTCCTGCGTTGTTTTGCGTTCTTAGTCGGCTCTTACGACACCCACGGGATGAATTGGGGTAGTGTCATTCCGTATTCTTAATCCGTCACTACTCGGACATCTTTCCATCTGAACTTACGGTATTCCTTACTCCTAGCTTCCTTACGATACCCTACCTTTACCTGCTGCCTTTGACCACACTGAAAAGTGTTATATTCTTAAAAATAGAGCCCGTGTCGAGCATGTGGATGGTCATAAAAGCCTTTGCAATATTTTTATCGTGGCTTTCTGACCCTACGTCAAGTTTGGAATTTTCCTGAAAGAAAAAACTATCAATAGTTAAATCTACCCGCTTATCATACTAAGGAACTATGGTGCTAGATTGGATCATCATCATCATCATCAGCCTATCGCAGTCCACTGGTGGACATAAGCATCTCCCATTGCACGCCACTTACATCGATTTTGGGCTTCTCGCATCCAGCTCCTGCCAGCCGTCTTGCGCAAATCGTCACTCCACCAAATACAATACAAATGAAAATAAGGATCTCTTCACTATCAAATGTTTCCTGATATAAAAAAAAACTGGGTATATAACCCAGTTTTTTTTTATCAGCAACCGTTTTAGTAACAAACTAATTATTCAGATAAACAAAAACACGGCAGCGAGAGAATGTGGATACGGAGGTACTTACAAAGAGGCAATTTTAATTTTTAGGATTGCATTATGTCACTCATAATTAGGATTAATCAAAACGGTTTGATTGATTTAGGCTTGGGACGTGACCCAAGTCTAAATCGAAAGAGCTCAACAATTTACAGATATGCCACAAAACGTTCTTGGTACCTCCCTTTTATGACTCGAAACCGAATATGAAAGACGTATAAAAAGGTAAATTACTAACAAACTTGCTTTCCACATTAGCTAAAGAGTATTCAGAGCATCACTATTACATTGCCGATACCGTTTTGACCACGTATCTCGTGTTTAAAATGGAATATAAAACAAACAGTGTAGCCAACAAAAAAATTACAACATACTAATAAAATGGCCACCCGCATCAAAATCAGTAAGTACGACTAAAATAAAATGCGTTTAATTAACTTAATTAGTGCGCCTTTCGTTTTTAAAGTAGCAGGTTAAGGCGCTATTGTTTTGGCGCGGGAGAAAACAACATCTTCATTCAAGATATCGTTGCGGGATAACGGTGAGACGCACGCGCACACACTCTTTCTCCTTCCTTCATATGGAAAATATGCGAGTAAGAACGCGATGGAGCACAGACAGTGGCTGGCAAACGATTACTCGAGTGACCCACTCATAGCCCACACTCTTTCTCGACAGCAAATGAAACCTAATTTTTATATCGTGTGAATTTGCAATGTACAACGATGCTCTTGTGTGTCTAATACCGTGAAATAACAGAAATTATAATTATTGATGATTGTACGAAGCGAATTCTTTAATGTAACGTTGTATGACTTTAGAAATTAATTGGTAGATGCCAAAAGGAACATGTGGTCTTTGGTGAGATTGATTATGTTGTGACTGAACTCTTAGAACAAAATACTTTGGAATCGTTTATCAAAATCAAGTTATGCCAAAAGAGATTATTTACTTTCTTAATGCCAAAGTTTTTAAAACCATACATATAAATACATAGAAATAAAAATCCCGTGAATCAAAACTTGCTGTAAACTTTTATTTCTCTTAAGTGAATCTTTTGAAAATAATAAAAGTATTTATTATCAATATCTTTTAGAGTGAATATCAATTCGACAGATAAAAAATCTGAAACGAATTCCATCCTATTTGAACACTGCTTCGTTACCTCTATGTATACAAACTTTTTCTTTTGCCTCGTTTATTAAACTGTGGGTTCTACAAATAAAAGGCCATTGGACAACAACAGCGACGTGATAAAACTACTGACTGAATAGATGCACACTGCCCTTGTTCTCATAACGCTTTCAAGCTCAATGCTGCTCAATTCCTCATTTCAATAAATTGTCCCGCACCTACTTTCATTTGCAACGGTGTAAGACGCCGGCAGTGCACCGGCGCAGGCGCCTTCCTACAAATCGATCATAAAACCCATAACAGACCACCGTCAACCTTTCAAGGAGCACGTTTGTCATCAAGAAGTGCAACAGATGCGGTCCTTGAGATTGGCAATGGATGGGAAAGTTAGTCGGTGAGCAACCGTGGTGGCAGCCGCTCGTCTCCACGATGTTTGTAAGCGCGTACGCAGTGAAAGTTCGTTAAGTTGCGAAATGCGGTTTGCTATCGCCTTTCTGTTTGTGGTGAGTGCTAATTACGTTAAAAGTGTTAATGGAGGGTGCTCTCTCTTTGCAAATGGACGTTCCGTGATCGATGTAGGATTACTGCTTCGAGAAGATTACTATGAGTTTGTTGACGGAAATGTTTTATAATTAGGACTAGATACGGTCAACATAAAACAGGAAAGAAGATTCTAGAAGTAATACAAAATACAGTTGACTTTTGTACATATCTTCGTTAGAAAAATGATGTGATTATTATTGATGAAACGAGATTTAGCGCGCTAAAATTGTGCGAAAATAAACTAGGGCATGCATAATGTTGGCTAAGAAATAAGTCAAAGTGAACCAGTTCATTTTATTAAAATGATTTGATTGATGATTGATAATGTTTCGCTGATCAAAGCCAGAAAAATATTTTTTTTTGTCATCAATCAATAACACACTTAAGTAAATAAATATGTGTTGGACTATAATGAAACAAATGTTTTAAAATTTATACATATATTGTATCTCCATCCACATCTAAAAAAAATATAGATATGTGGTTGTCTATGCTCGAGGAAGCAAATGAATGAATATATTGGAATGAAATTGATCGGATTATATGAAACAAGAAAAGCTTGTTTATACTTTCCATAATTTATACAAATGCCAAATGTTTTCCTTTACTTATAAATAACTGTGGTGTGTTAAATATTTTATTTCTATAACTACGATTACCTACTAAATATTATTGGTAGAATAATTACGTAAATTCATTTTGAAAGACCACACAGTTATATTTCGATGGGAAGCTTTATTGCACTCAAATTTTTAAAAAGGTCTTAATTTTATTTCGATACAATATTGTATACTTCGATGCATATAGAGTTTTTTTGGTTTTTTAAAGAAGGAGGTTGGATTACCAATTTTTTTCCTTTAAATTTATTGTGTTCTAGCGATCCGCCTTGGCTTCGCACGGGTACAATGTAGATACTACAAATACTACTAGTGTAGTGTCTGTGTGGAGAGATTAATTATACTATTATCATGATAGGATTACACCACATGACATCTTTACATGCAATATTTATAGGCCGGCTCCGATCCTGCCGGCCTCTGCCGGACGGACGTATACGATTCGAGAGTCGTTGGGCCCCCGAATTTTAAATCTCTAATATCTTCTATAACATTCATTTTAATGATATGCTGTAAAGAGAAATTTTAATCTACATTAAATGCATAAAGTATCCAACGTATTTAATTGGGAATATAATAATAATATAATAATAAGGAATAATAATGTATTGTTTAAAATAGCTTCGTAAATAACCCATTATTTTTTTGTAATATTTAAAAGATAAAAAATGCCTGCTGGTTAAGGATTAGCCAGCGTTTGAGCCAAAACCATGTTTTTAAGAGAAATCTTAAAAATACTCGGATTTCCTCTACTATAATATGCATGTATTATACATATAAACCTTCCTCTTCAATCGCTCTCTCTCTTGGTGAATCGCATTAAAATCGTTGCTTAGTTTGAAAGATCTAAGCGTACAACACAAAAAGCGTCTCTATTTTATACTATGTAATTCGTCTATAATATGTCTACGTATTTAGTATAATTTAAGTGTGTTTATCGGCAGTCTGGTTTAAATGGCATAGAATCTGCATAGTTTGAAATTACACGTATAAGGTTCGTGTTTTTCAATTATAAATCTCCGTTAAATACTAATATTGTGTGACCTATTCATCCCGTGGGTTTCGTAAGAGTCGACTAAGGGAGTAAACTACGAACGATAACAGCACTGCAAAGAGAAGGAAAACTTGAAACGAATCCTATACCAACCCGTCTTGCCAGCGTGATATAGTAGGCCAAAACCTCCTTTATAAGGAGAGGCCTATGTCCAGCAGTGGACTAGTAAAGACTGTTGACTAATATTAAGTATTGGTTTCAATCATATTAGGAGTTTAGTCAAATATTACTTAGTAATTGTTAGACTTATAAGGAACCATTTTAAATATTCAGCAGAAATAAACAAAAAATAGAAATCATTTTATAATTATTGTACTAAAAATTAAGAGAATCGATTAATAAATAAGTTAATAGATTATGTTTTATGCCATTCAGCTTTTAAAGAGCTTTAGGGTCATAAGAAAGGTTTTATCTCTTCCATAGCTTAGCTCAGTTAAATTTCGACCTTTGAGCGATAAGTAATCAATATATAAACAATTAAATTCGTCGACTCAATGATAGAGAAGACAGCAGTTGTTCGAAACGTTACAATGTCGAAGAGGTGAGTGAACTTGACGTGTTGACGAACAATTGTTGTCTAACTAGAAATAGTTACATACCAGTAAGTAGGTAAGTGATGAGCTAGACAATTAACTGTTGGAATATCGTTGAACGGACACAGCGAGAGGTGTCCGCATTACGTACATATAAACTGATTAATGAACCACCTAATATTATGAATCTGTATTTGAGTTCGTTTGTTTGTGATGTTTTTTGAGCCTCCGCTAATCAACCGGTCATTTTTATGACAGGAGGTCAGACGGTATACCTGATGGTAAGTGACTTCCGACGCTTATTGACACCTGCCACTCAAGAGTCACAAGTGCATTACCGACCTTAGCCCCTCCCCCCTTGAATTAGAGGAAGTGGGTTTGTAGTTTCGATAAACTCACTCACTCATTTAAAAGCAGCGAAAGAAATCGTGGTTTTACTCCTGTCAAGCCGGCGCAATTGTACCGAAGAATAGATCCCCATGGCCTACTCTCACTCCCATAAAGTTTGAATTCGCATTGTCAGGGTCAAGAAAGAGACTTTCATCCAGAATAATTAACTTTCAAAAACGCTGTTACCAACTTCAATGAGATGAATCAGAACGAATTGAAGATACCGGATTCTTCTTAACTTAATTTCCCACCATTTTTAAGTCAAATTTGAATTAAACAGGGAATACACGCTGCCAAATGAAAAAAAACAAATTGATTAATAAACTACGGAGTTTAGAATAACAAACATAAGTAAATTACAACGGAATTAAAACTCTTCGACTATTTTTGACGTTGATTATGAATAGTACTGTTCTAGAGGTGTATGTGTATGAAAACGCGGTAAAAGCTATTTAGTAAGTTAACAGTAAGTAATAATAATATTCTACCACATTGACACAACGCCATCTAGTCCCAAACTAAGCAGAGCTTGTACTATGGGTACTAGACAACTGATATAAATACATATATACTTTTTTTTTGTAAATACATACATATTATACATAGAAACATCCAGACCAAATCAAACATTAAATGTTCATGCACACAAACGTTTGACTTGAGCGGGAATCGAACAGCAGTCCGTTACACAAACGACCACGCCATCCGGTTGTCAAAGTCAAGTAAGTGTTATTGTGTTAAACATTTATACCTAAAATACTGAACCATTAATGATGATATTTTACAAGCACGTTATCAGAGGTGCAGAGAAGACAATAACGCATGTTATCCCCAGAAAAAAAGGTTGCAAGGCTTGACAAAAACCCAAGCAAAATCACGGACAAAATGTGGTAATAATATAATTGTCTCTGGAATGGTACTAAACGTGCAAAAGAGCATTTTCGTAAAGAAAGTGATAGGTACATATTTTTTAATAATCTCTACTCAAAATTCTGATATTTTTGTCACACATCACACTTTTACAATAGTTAGGTGTATATACCTGAAAATTCAAATCATTATCATCTCTTATACGTACTGTTTAATTAAAAAGCTGACATTAAAATGTCGTGTCTGCCAGAACGTACTCATGACATTGTATCTAATACTGGCCAGTTAAATAACATTCTAGCCTCTGCTCGCTAGTTGCGAAGTTTGTGAAGCTTTCAGAAACAGGTTCAGAAACAATCGAAAGATGTGTGAGTTCTAAAAAAGACTCATAGTTATGGATTTCAATAAATTTCTAAAGAAGTAATGACGGAAAGCGACTACCGCCGCCCATGAACGCCTGCAACTCAGAAGTCACAAGCACGTTGCCAGCCTTCGAGAAAGGAGTACGCTCTTTTCTTGAAGGTTTGAAGGTCGTTTCGGTCCGGAAATACCGCAGCCGATAAATTGTTTCACAGATTGGTGGAGCGCCAATTATCCAAGTGGTGGAGATGAAAATTTTGCCGTGTGGAACGATGGCGGAAGGTTGCGGCCGGTATTAGTCTGCACAATTCCTCGGAGCACTCTCCATAATACATACGATAGAGAATGCAGAGCGAAGCTACATCTCTGCGTAACGCCAAGGGATCGAGCCGGTCGCAAATCTTTTGGCTATCGACGATTCGAGTCGCTCTTCTTTGGATACGGTCCAGAAGGGAGAAGCTGGTACTGTGGTGCCCCTGCATAGAGATGAGAACAGTATTCCATATGCGGTCGGACTTGTGCCTTATAGAGTTGGAGGCCATGGGCTGGAGTGAAATACTGCCTCGATCTGTTCAGCACAGCAAGCTTCTTCATCTATACTAATATTATAAAGCTGAAGAGTTTGTTTGTTTGTTTGTTTGTTTGTTTGAACGCGCTAATCTCAGGAACTACTGGTCCGATTTGAAAAATTCTTTCAGTGATAGATAGCCCATTTATCGAGGAAGGCTATATATCATCACGCTAAGACCAATAGGAGCGGAGCAATGAAGAATGAAGAATGTTTCAAAAACGGAGAAAATTTATTACTATTGAGAGACGCAGACGAAGTTGCGTGGTTCAGCTAGTTATTTATAAACTTTCGCAATTATACATTTCAGACTTTTAGTTGTGTCAATTGGAACTAAATTGCGATAAATACTTTTGGGTTTACTTTTTGATCGAGTTTGACCGATCGTGCTCACTGGTGTTTATTTTCGCGATTAAGTCCTAATTCTATCTGAAGTCATAATAAATAAAATAAACAAGTTTTGACTTGTTGTTGAACGCACTAAATCCGTTTCGGATGTTAATATCATCGTGTGTAGTCATTTTTGAAGCTCGTGTTGTGTTCCGGTTTTAATTTTATATATTAATAT